GAATCTTCTGATATATGAAATCCCCAGCTTCCCCTAATCCCCACCTTTTCAAATATCAAATATCAGGCTTTTCTCAGTGAGTGATAGTACCTGTTTATTGTTAATGGAGCATAGGGCCTTTTGCCATGAATAGATATTTGCCATGTTTGTTATCTTTCTGAATAGTACAAGGATTTTACTTTAAAACTGAGGTACAGATTGCTCTATTTTTTAAATAAAGAATCTGTGAGAGATAGGACCAAATTCAGATGTCCCAGAGGGTAAGTTCAAACACATTTTGCTCATTTTGATGGTTGGGGGGGGGACATAGTGGCCAATTTTGCTTTTTTTTTTTTTTAATTGAGAAATGACAAATTGTTAACTTTGGTTCAAAACTATACCCTGGTTTTTTTTTTGTTGTTGGTTTTTTTTTTAAGTAAAAAAAGTTGGGAGAGGGTCATGTTAAGTTGAATAGATGAAGAACATGGAGAGGGGAAAATGGGTGTATATATCACATTTTATTGAATATGCATATGAAAATTTCAATAAGGAAAATTATTAAAATTGTGAAAAAGAGAAAAACTTAATCTTTCATTGAACTAAGGTAATTCTTATTTGATTTTTTTGACATTTTTAAGTTAGCCATTTATTTCAGTGATAAATTTGGACTCAGAATAGTTGTGAGATTCTTTTCCTTTGTGTTTTAACTAAGAAAACATCTGACTGCCAATAGAAGAAGGAGTTTGGGGAGAGTTATGGCGGAACCAAATAATGACTACTTAGTGCTTTTTGATTTTGATGATGAAGAAGATGATCTGACTGTTTCTGAGAAGGCTCTGTCTGAAGGTATAACATATCTGATGTTGGACATTGATTGTGTTCTGTAGTTCATGTGCTTTTTACTGATATTTCGTTTCTACTTTTATCTGAATATTTATGTACCAGAGGGTTTTTTGTTGTTGTTGTTGTTGTTTAAAGATTTATTTTTATGTATGCAGTGTTCTGCCTACCTTCCAGAAGAGGGCACCAGATCTCATTATAGATTGTTTGTGAGCCACCATTTGGTTGCTGGGAATTGAACTTAGGACTTCTGGAAGAGCAGCCAGTGCTTTTAACCATTGAGCCATCTCTCCAGCCAGAGAGTTTTAAGAGTGCATATAGCTTCTCTTGGTTATGTAATCCCAGTATATTGAGAAATAATAACTTAAAATGGCTTTACCCCAGGAAGACTTATAAAATGTTGGCAAATTGTGAATTGATTTCATAAAACTTGCAAAGATGTTATTTTATTTCTATAGCTGCTTCAAAAATTTTGGCAAAACTTCAAGAGAAATGCAAATCAAGATAAGCACTTTGATAACTATTACTAATATAACGTAATTGATTTCAAATATGTTTTTCATTTTTATTGTTAATAGAAAAGAGCCCAGTATTTGAGAAAGACGAGAAGAAATGGCCTCCTGCAGAAGTGGATGGACATATGGAGTAATGTTTTCAATTTTTTTTTTTTTGCCAGTTCAATACTTCAAAAGTAATACCTGTAATTCCTGCTCTAGACAAGTAAATGCAGGAAGATCAGAAATTCAAGGTCATTGTCAACTATATAGCTAGTTCAAGCCTAGCAACCATGGCCACCTGCTTAAGACCTTCACACCACACACACACACACACACACACACACACACACACACACACACACACACACGAAAATAGAAAGGACACCATTTGGAGAAAAAGGGGTATAGCAGGAGTGGGAAATGGATAAAATGAAATTGAAGTAATGGGGATATACATGTAGGAATTGTCAGCAATAAGATAATAATAAAGGTTTAATTGTCTAAAAATATTTTGTTATATTGCATATGACATTTATTCCAAACCATACATATATTATAAATAATTAAAGGGACTTTCTGTGTAAACTTTTTGTGTGCTAGGCAAATGCTCTACCACTGAATTATATTTCCAGCTTTAATTTTTTTTATTGTAATTTCTTCACAGAGATGAAATGCGCACTATGTTGAATAAATTTAGAGGTACGTTTTTGAAGATGAGTATGTTAACAGAAAATTGTTTAAATCTATATATTGATTTATATGAAAGGAATTGTTAATCAATGTTCTATTAACTGTCATTTAATGCCTTCTTAGCACAGAATTTCACATGAATTTTGTGATTTATAAATGTAAAATTTTCCACTTAAGTTTTTCCATGATAAAAAAAGTAAAATTTATGCTTTTAGACCTGTGAACCTCAAATAGAATTTTAGAAGAAAAAAACCAGATGGGAAAAGTTTTGCAGTTCTTTCTATTCACAGACTGAGTGATAGTATCCACAAGTGTTTCTGTGTATCAGCTTTTTGTTTACAAAATTTATTTTGGGCCCAGCGGTGGTGATGACCATCTTTAATCCCAGAACTCACTCGGGAGACAGAGGCAGGAGGATCTTTGTGAGTTTGATGCCACCCTCGTCTACAGACTGAGTTCTAGGACAGGCTCCACATCTACACTAAGAAACCCTGTATTGAAAGACAAAAAAGTTATTTTCTAAGGCTCTTTCTGAATTCCCCTTTTTGTGAAGGAGAACATAAAGCTGAAAACTCTAGTACAATTCATTATTATTTGTTAAGATTTAATTTATTTTTTTTTGTTATATGTCTCCGTGTGGAGGTGGGGAGTGGGGCGTTTGTAACATGAAAGTGCTTCCATAGTTCAGAAGGTGGGGTAAGATATCCTGGAAGTGGAGTTACAGGCAATTGTGAGCTATATAACATGGTTACTGAGAAATGAATTCAAGTCCTCTAGGAGAGCAGCAAGCACTAGTAACCACTGAGCCATATTCCCTACACCTTTATAACTATTTTTATATTTAAAAAAAATTGTGAGAGTACTGGAGAAATGGCTTAGCAGTTAAGACTGAGAGCTTCCCTTGTAGATGACCTGAGTTCAGTTCCCAGCATTGCCTTATAACCATCTATAAACTCCAGTTCTAGAGGATATGACTCCCTCTTCTGATCTCTGTGGGCGTTTACAAGTTATATATATGTACATACATGCAAAACATTCAGACTCATTAAATGAAAAAAAAAAGTTGAAAATAAAAGTTGTGAAAGGGAAAGACCTGAAGTTTAACATACTGTGTTTATCAGTTGTATGCGCTTTTTAAATATAGTCTTCATTAATTTCTTTGTTAATTTTGTGTATTGCTTGTTTGTTTTTAAGACAGGATCTTACTATGTACTTCAAGCTGATCTGGAACTTGATATGAAGTCCAGTCTAGATTTAAACTTTGTCAGCTTCCTGGGTGCTAGAATTACAGGCATGAGCCACAACACCCTGTTTGGGAAACAGTATTCTTTTTAAAAGAGTTAATAATAATTGATTCTTTCATAGGAATTACTGACACCATGAAGTTTACCCAGAGAGTTTCTTTCTATTTGGTAGTGACAAAGACGTTGATTTTTAATTTGTTACATAAATTGTGGTTATACAACCTGAAAGTATAAAATTTTATATAATAGTATAGATTCATTATAGTTTCTGAATGGTTACTGTTTATGATAGAAACTATGTTTACAAACATTATTTGAGGTGTTGAATTTTTATGCCCTGCTCTGCTTAGTAAAAACCCTCTATATAGAAAGTTCCATGAAATTACTTTAAATTTTTCCTAAATTATCTCCATATTTACGTGAGTAATTTTCACTTTTATCTAGGTGTATGTTATTCAGGTATGCTCCTGTGTGAGCAAGTGTACAGGTGCATGTGGCAGCCAGAGATTGAAATTGGAATGTCTTCCTCAATCATTTCCTCTGTGTGTGTGTGTGTGTGTGTGTGTGTGTGTGTGTGTGTGTGTTTTGCCTGCATATATGTATGTACCACACAGTTACCTCTTGCCCTCAAAAGCAGTAAGAGGACATTAAATGGAGGTATAAATGGTTGTAAGGCACCCATGTGGGTGGTTGGAATTGAACCCTGGTCCTCTGGAAGAGCAACAAATGTTCTTATTAACTACTGAGAAATCTCTTCCGCCCCTCCAATTTTTTGAGACAGGATTTCTTTGTATCTGAACCTTATCATTTCAATGAGAATGAATGTCATAGGAGTCCCAGGGAGCTGCCTGTCTCTGCCCTCAGTGCTCTGGTCAGGGACATACAACATCACACCCGGCTTTTATGTGGGTGGTGGGTATTAAAACTCAGGGCCATTTTAATCATTGGGCCATCTCCCCAGAACAAAGGTATTTTTCCATCTTTGGTCTTTTGCCTCTTTTTATAAAAATATATTTAGAATTATTTCTGACCATATTTTATATAAATATATTATTTGTTTTAAATATGTCTTGGATTATAATTTTAAGAGGGTATTTTTATGTATTTTAAAGCTTGAGTTATAAGACTGTACTTTCAGGATAATTTCTAAAAGTTAAGTTTGACTTTTAACCACAGTTTAGAAGCTCACTAATATCATTTCCATTGAACAGTATTTTTTAATTTAGAAACACTTCCTTTCTAATAAGGTATTTGTTTGTGAATTACTTAAAGGGTATCCTTGACATTTTCCCTCTTGTGTTCATTATTATTGGGCCTCAATTTAAAAATTATGTTCAGTTATGAAAATCAGAACTAAATATATAGGACCAAAAATTTTCAGACTTCAAAGTTTTGTTTACTCTAGTTTATTCGCATTGACTTTACTGTTTGGACATCCCTGTGATGAAAATGCAAAATTCTAAGTACTCTAAAATGTGAAACTTTGTGCTCCACGTTGGTGATACATTTCAATTTAATTTTAAGTGTCATTGGTATTATTTATTAATCTTTAGCCATATTTGTATATACTTGCATGTTTAGGAACAATTAAAGTTACTTTAACATTAACCTTTATTTTCTCTCTCTCCTTTTTTGTTTTTTTTTGTTGTTGTTGTTTTTTGTTTGTTTGTTTTGGTTTTTTGAGAGAGGATATTGCTTTGGAGCCTGTCCTGGAACTAGCTCTGTAGACCAGGCTGGCCTCAAACTCACAAAGATCCACCTGCCTCTGCCTCTGCCTCCCAAGTGCTGGGACTAAAGGCGTGCACCACCAATGCCTGGCAAACCTTTATTTTCAATATAGATGGGATTAATAATTCTCTTCTTGAAAAGAGAAGAAGAATTCAAATGTTCTCTGAAACTATTTCCAAAGAGAGTAGCTACAAAATGAAACAAGTTTGGAAAACCAGAGAAGAGCAAATGTAAGTTTGTTGGTATCTTTAGAGCCAAGTTTATATCATATTTGAGTATATATTGGTACAAATTACTTAGGAGAATAGTATCCCCTGTCTATTGAAATCTCTAGTAAAAGTGTTTCACTTTAATTTTCTTTAAGCAAGTAGTACTATAATCTCATACCTTCATAGAATTGAGATGTATTTCTTGGAAGTCAGTGATGACTACAGGTTGCTCCTTCCAAATAACAAATGAGAGATTTAAAAGTAATTCATGTTACTCTGGAAATATATTGAGTAAATGGTAGATGCCACATAAACTATTTATTGTCTTTTAGTTAACTGTATGAACAATGTAGTAAATAGTTCATTTTATATAAAAAATAACTTGTGTGTTTTAACTGATCTAACTATTCCTCCGTACTGTATCTTGGCTGTGACAAAAGGGCTTAGTGAATTATTCCTACTTAGAAAAAATTTAGTTTCATTTAGTTTTGTTTTTTTTTTAAACAGGGTTTCTCTGTGTAGCCCTGGCTCTATTAAAGCTTGTTCTGTAGACCACGATGACCTTAAACTCATCAAGATCTGCTGCCTTTGCCTCCTGAGTGCTGGGATTAAAGGTGTTCACCTACCACCACCCAACTGAAATAATTTACTTTTTTATTGGAACCTGTAGAAAAATGAAAATTTGCTTGGAGATGAAATTAATCTTCCTGAGAAATGTGTACATGTATATATATGTGTATATTTATTTATCAGTTATATATATATATATATATATATATATGATGTATATGTGTATTTATGTTACATAGATATGATAAAAAATTTTTTGGGTTTCAAGAGGCAAACCATATGAGATCATTTTTAGTAAGGAAAAGAAGTACTTCTAGAATCTATATAAATCTAATTTTGTTTCTTGGGTTCCCATCACAATATTTAAACTGTTATGTTTTCCCTCTTTTTTATGCTATACAATATGTGAATTCCATTTTGTCTTGATCGTTTTCATATTGGTATAAAATGTGAGCCTTTATTCTTACGTTTTGCAGGATGCAAGTTAGGAAAAAGTATTACCAGCAGTTTATGGATCTGTTTAATCAGTGGGATTTGGAGAGGCAGAAATACAAAAAACAGCAAGAAAACATAATGGTTTGTATCACAGTTAGCTTTATAATTAATCTCTTATAATAAGATTTCAAGTAGGAATCTAAATGCTTGCCTTATATTAGACCTGTGGAACTGAACCAAGGTGCACTACCGATTGTTGCCCGAGTTCTTGTCCTGCAGAACCATAAACCAAAGAAGTATAGGCAAATATACTCACAAAATCCACTGGGCTTCTTATATTAATTGGGATGCCTATAATTTCAAACAAAAGAAACTTTTTAAAGAAAAGAATAAAGATAGTTTACTTCTTGCTGTGAAATAAATCATGGGTAAGTTAGTTTTAGATACAGTTGAATGGGAAATTGAAGTATTTTACGTAGTATCTTTTAGATGTTGTTGCAAATTCTTACTAGGGTTATGATGTCAATTCTTTCAGTCCTATGTTTACTAAAACTTTAGAAAATGCAGACAAACTGATACAAACTTTCTGGCTACTGCTGTGGAAAATTCATAGAGAACAACATCACTGAGTTATCTGTGGTCATTTGCCCATTCCTAAACAAAACACTGTACTAAGAATATGGTTTGGTTTAGCTTTTCTTCCCTTTATTCTTATCCCTTCCCTTCCTCCTCTCTCCCTTTCTTCCATCCCTCCTTTCTTTACTTTCTTTTTCTCTTTAACCCCCCTCTCTCTTTCTCCCCCATGCCCCTGCCTCCCATCCCTCTTTCTTCTGACTTGAAACTGAAGCCAGGACCATTTACAGACTAGTAAAGCACACCATGACCAAACCACAGCACCAATTCAGAAAATGATTTACTTTTAATGTCCAGAGCTGTAATACAACTCAAGTCCCACTCATATATTTTATAGCTGTATTAGTTACTCTTTATATTTTCTTCTTTCATTGCTTATAATTGTCAAAAAATTTAAACAAAATCTAGTCATATCAAATTATTTTGGAGTTGTTAGGTCAGCTCAGTTTTGGATATGCTCAATTTGAGTGAGATATACATTTTTTTAGGAAGATGTTTAATAGGCCACTGGTATATGAGTCTGGGATTCAGGAGAGAACTCTGAACTAAACAAACAAAATTGAAAATTCCCAGTTTAAGTGCAGCTTTTAAACTGTAACCCTTGATGAAATACCAAGGGAGTAATTAAAAATAAAAATGGGAAGTATGAGGATAGGCCTAGTTGGTAAAAACTAAACTACCCCAAGTGAAGGAAGTATTTGTAAAGAAAAGACCATTAACTGTGCCATACACTACTTAGAGGCCAAGTAAGCTAGATTTAACAGCAGGAAGTAATTGGTGTATTGGAGGGAATGATTTGGTTAGTTAAGTCAGTATGAAACTGGTTAGAAGCAGGTGTGATGGGGAACAACTTTAGTTGCAACACTTGCAAGGCCAAGACATGTAGATTTCTAAGTTTGAGGCCAGCTTTGTCTACATAATGTGGTCCAGGCAAGACAGTAAGACTGTGAAAAATGAAACAAAAATGAATTAGAATGGGTACAGGACAGAACAGGAAAGAAAGGACTAGGTAGTTGTGAGAACAAATGAAGTAGAGGTCTGTAGAGTTAGGGTTTGTCTTTTGTTTTTGTTTTTGTTTTTGTTTTTTTTTTTGGCTTTTGAGCTAAGTGAAATAATGTGTTTGTGTGCTAATAGGAATAATCTTGTTTGTTTGTTTTTTTGTTTGTTTGTTTCAAGACAGGGTTTCTCTTATGTAAGTTTGGAGCCTGTCCTAGAACTCACTTTATAGACCAGAACTGGCCTTGAACTAGTTGAGGTCCACCTGCCTCTGCCTCCTGAGTGAGTGCTGGGATTAAAGGCATGTGCCACCAATGCCATGCTATCTTTTTGTTTGTTTATTTGTTTGTTGAGACAAGGTTTCTCTGTGTAACAGCCCTAGCTGTTCTGGAACTAGTTCTGTAAACCAGGCTGGCCTTGAACTCATGGAGATCCACCTGCCTCTGGCTTCTGAGTGCAAAGCATCTGCCATCACTGCCCAGCAATAGGCATAATCTTTAGGACAAATTAATTATTTGTTTTTTGTGGTCCTGGGAGCCTGGTATTTAAACCTAGGGTTTTATCCATGGTAGCAAATGCCTCTTAGCACTAAGTTATATCCCAGACACTTCTTACTGTTCCTTTTGAGACAGGGTTTCATTAAGTTACCCAAGCTGGCTTATAGTTCTAGCATGCCTTGACCTTGTGATCCTCACGCTTCATCCTCCAAAGTAGCAGACCAAAGTCAACAGACCTGGCTAGAGACTCAAATTAAAAATAAAAGATAGAGTCGGTAAAAGATGAATTCTTGATAATGGATGGACATGTAAAACAGAACCTGGTAAAGAGCAAGTATGCTCTATCCTGAGAAATGAAAGTATAAATAGGTATAGGTTGCTAAAGACAGACTCTATGTTTTCTTTATATTGTTTCTGTATGCTTAGTGAAATAAGGTCATTGGGTGGTGAAAACATTACCATCAGGTAGATTAGCTAGAGTTGAATTTTCCAAACTTGCAGTTTACAAAGGAAAAGTGAGAGATGGGGCCTCTGGTAGTGGATCAGTATTTATCCCCAGTATAGGAATGGATTTTGGGAGCCCATTCCACAGACAGGGATGCTCTCTTAGCCTAGACACATGGAGGAGGTAGGCCCTGCTCCAAAAGATACAGCAGACTTTGAAGATCCCCATGGAAGGCCTCTCACCCTCCCTGGAGAGCAGAAAGGGGATTGGTGAAGGTCAGGGGAGTAGGAGCAGGAGAAGGATTGACTTGGAAACCACGATTGTTTCTCACTTAAATTTTAAAAATATAGAAGAAAATAAAATTAAATATATTGGAGGCATGAGGTTTCAAAAACTAAGCTTTTACTTGGATCTGGAGATTTTCTACTTGTTCTCATGTGGTTGTGCATGCTGGTAATATATCAGACGTTTGGGAGGCTGAGACAGAAGCACAAGTCCCAGCTAGCATGTGCAACATAGGGTGACCCAGTCTCAACAAGTTAAATAATGCAGTGACTGGTAAGATGATCACATTGCATATTAATGATTTTAAAATTACTTGTCAAAGTAAAATGTTACATGTATCCATTTGAAATTTTTTCCTTTTGACTCCAGTTTGGAATTATTCTTTTGCGTTAAGGATGGGAATATGCCTTAGAGATACGGTGTTTAATTATAATATATGAAGCCTAGAAGAACAACAAAATTATTTTACCAAAATATTATTATATAAGCTTTCTTTTATATTTGTAGAGCATTTTCAAACAACAGAAAATGATGCTAAGACAATGTAAAATTAAACACAATCAGAGAGTGAAACTAATTGTACAGATGGTCACACGATACATACAGGTATGTTGTACCCAGAAACATATCACCTCAGAAAAAGTATAATGTTTTTTTGCAAGTTGATTAGAGAAACATTTTAATATACAGTTTTAAGTGCTTTTCAGTTTGAATTGTTATGAACAAAAGTGTTACATATAGCTATAAAGTTCTAATTTTTTTGTGATGAATAATATTCAAGATAGGAAATGTCAAACTAGTAATTTTACCTAGCAATGTACTTATCATGAATTATATTCATAGCTGATTAACACTTGAGTTATAATTTTCTATTTATCTGAGATCAAGTCTCTGTGTCATTTCTATATTATCTTTTGTATTTGCATCCCCAGTGTTTGTTGAGTAGGGAATAGTAAATTGAAATTATGGCCTTTTTTTTGAGTGTATTGTAGTATTTTCTGACATATTCATTTCCAGAACTGTTACACTGACCAAAAATGACTACATATGCTACTTTATAATCATTAGAGATAAAGTACTAGCCAATTGAGATTTTTAGATTGAGAGTTGTCTATACATAATCATATTACGAAATGTGGGTCTAAATATTAAATAGATATAAAAGTATTTTAAAAGGTATGTCTTAAAATTTTTTAAATTCCTTTCATGAAAACAAAAGTTATTTCAAGCATTTTCAGGCAGAGAACTTGTCAGCTTATTTTGATGTTCACTAGGAACAGTTTTTTGATTGGTACCAATGTTTGATAAAGCATTAATAAAGCTTTCACCTAAATAGTATCATCACTTAATGTTCCCCTTTACCATTAGGAACATTACTGTAATTTTTAACTCTTCCCTATCTTTTAGGTTTTCAAACTGAGCTATTCTAGATTCAGTATTTTTCTCTGTGCAGTGGGTCATTATTTCATCACGTCTTTCTTATCACTACTAACCTTAGTTTATTCTATTAAACACTGTCATCTTTGTTTATGTTTTTCCTCACTGGAGAAAAAAGAAACAATTTTCTATTATTATTATTACTTCTTCAAAGCCCTTATGGGGTTATGAGGATATGAGGTTTACTTCTCCTTGCTGGATGTGATGACACATGCCAATAATGCTAGTATTAAGGAGGCCAGGATAGAAGAATATCAAGTTTGAGGCTTGATTGGGCTAAATAGTGAGACCATGCCTTAAAAAACAAACAAACAAAAAAACAATGTTGCATATATGTGAAGTTTTTTTTTTAAATGGAAAAACCCTGAACTGCTAAAACATGATATTTTTGAGACTGGTCTCACTATACAGCCTTATCAGGCCTGGCGTTGGCTGTGTAAATCAGGCAAGCCTTGGATTCATAGATATCCACATGCCTTGGTCTTCCAAGTGCTTAGATTAACTGATTGTTTACCACTATATACAGATTAAAGTTAAAATTATGTAATTTACATAAATTTAAAAAGATCTCCATAGTACAGATAATTTTCTTCCCTTTAGTGAATTCCTGTCACATTTAACCCTAGTTCCAGTAAAATGTAACCTGACATTTGGAGACAAACTAGAATATTTCAAAATTATCTTACTGAGATGACTTTGTAATCTTTATTTATATATCTTTTCTCTTTGCCTTGAGACAGGTTCTCACTGTGTTGCTTGGGCTTACTTCTAGATCTCTATTCTCCTTCTTCAGCCTCTAGAATACCTAGGAATCATGTGAAACTATGCACAATATTTTGTTGTTGTTTGTTTTTGCTCCATCTTGAACTTAACGGTTCATCAAACCATTATTTGGGGAAAACTATGCTAATTTTGTTTTTTAACAACATTTGATTCATGTCTGATCTATTTTACTTCATTATATAATATTATTCATGTATTGTAATGTTTTTGAAAATAGGAATAAATAATGACCATTATTTGAGTATTAATAAAGTCTCACTTATGAAAATGAATTTTATAATTTATAATCTAAGATGAAACATTATGGATTATAACTGAAGTTGCTTTTTGTGTTTTAGATTTTGAAGAACATGGATGGTAAGAATAATCTACATACTGCTTCATTCATTGAACTGAAAAAAGAAATAGCTGAATACCAAAAGAAATATATGATGGAAACTGTAAGTTATATTTTAAGCTGGAAATTATATAATTTAGCAGAAATACTGAAGTATTTATTTATTAAAATATACACAGCTAAAAATTCATCATATTTATTTTCTCCTTTTTTGAGACAGCAGCAGCAAGAGATTGCAAATATTCGAAAGTCTCTTCAATCCATATTATTTGATGATTCTTTGAAAAATTGAACCTGTGTGGAGCAGTATACTTCTAATATTTTATGGTAGAAATTCAGGTTTGAGTAAAATGAAAACAAGCAAATGACTAGCACCTGTTCTGATGTATTAAGGTTTTAGCTTTTTTGTTGTTAATTAGTGAAATTTTTCTCCAACAATGTAAGTTAACTTTTGTTCACAGAGATAGTTGTTTCCTTTTCTTTTTGGCATCAGCATATTGCTTTGTTTTATTTTTGAGATATGCTTTCACTATGTGACCCATTTCTGGGCTCAAGTGATCCACACACCTCAGCCTCCAAAGTAACTGAGATTTTTAATTTTTGATGTGCTGAGATATGCATAGTACTTTTGTATATGTACTATATGTATAGTACTCACTCAAAATTGAACATGTTTATTGCCTCTTCATGAAAAGACAGCAGTGAAAGATTATAAATTTTCAAAAGCTTTTTAAATATATATTATTGTACTGTACAAAAAAAAATATAAAAGGCATGTGACTGGCAACCATTCCTCTGTAGCAAGATTTAAACTCTTATTGTAATAGTGAGTTTGTTTTCTCTAACACTCATTAATAAAGATTATTTAAGTTTCAGTTTTGGCTTTAACATATTTTTATCACTCATAAAAGGTATAAAATACTGTTATGGGATGTTAAATCAGGTATTATATAATGTTATAGGTTTTCTGTCTTTTTAAGATATATTCTAAGCACGCTTCTCAAATCAGTCTTGAACTCCAGGGCTCATGTGATTTTTATATCTCAGCCTTCTAGATGACTTGTACTATAGGTGTGTGCCATAACACTGTGCTTCTTTTATCTTGAAGGAAAATATTTAGGAACCCCATTTTACATGTATATCCACTTATTTGTGCTTAGTAAAATGTAAAGTCAATTTGAGGGAAATAAAATAGTCTATGATTTGTAAAACATACTAACAAAAAAAGGAAAGACCTTTAAATTGTGTCTAGGAATAACTTAAAATGTCATGTGTACCTGCATACTGCCACAATGATAATGGACTGAGCCTCTGAAACTAAGCAAGCCCCAATTGCTTTTCTTTATAAGAGTTGCATGGATCTCCCTGGGACAGAAGGGAACTGGTTGGGGCTAATGTGGAAGAAGAGATTGAAGGGAGAGACAGCTGGAATTAGGTGGCATTTGGAGGGGGCATTGTGGAAACCTAGTGCAGTTGAAACTTCCTGAAATCTATGAGGGTGGCCCTGCAGAGGATCCCTAGTAATGGAAGATACAGAGTCTGCACTGAACATCTTTTGTTGCTGGGCAATGCTTCCAGTGAGGACCCAGGATTGGATTCAGTCAAGACTTTTGGCTGAGGGGGTTCTGTGGAGATCCCGAAACAACCCAGGTTTGTGCTAGGACTGAAGGTTGCCCTCCAAAAACTGACAGTGGAGGGTTGGACACATTGCTGAGGACAACATCTACACAGCTCATTGAATGTTCAGAGGTAAAGCTGGTGTCTGCATGGAGCCTTCACCCCTATGGTCCAGTCTGTGGTGTGGGAAGTTACTCTTCAGGCCACAAAATCTTCAACCTACAATCTTCCTGCAAGTTGTGCAGGGGTTGGGTGGTGGTGTTGGTGGTAGTACAGAACTTGTGGGAGTGTCCAAACAATGTCTGGTTTAACTTGACATCTACATCACAAGAAGGAGCCCATGCCCAATGCCTGGGTAATCCAGATACCTAGGGTAGAACCAAACATGACAGGCAAAATGAATAAATAGATGAACAAACAAATAAAAAATGAAATAATTCCTAATGATACTCTGCTATACTCATAGATTGGGGCCTTGTCCATTTGGTATTAGAGAGACTTCCTCCAGCAGCAGATGGTAGCTGGTGTAGAGACACAGAGCCAGGTATGTGGAGTCTAAATTGGAGGTCTCCCTTCAGTCTCTCCCCTGGGAGCTCAGGAAGCCCTGGGGGGGGGGGGAAGAAAGGCTGTAGGAGTCAGAAGGGATGGAGGAGCCCAGGAGAACGTGGCCCACTGAATCAACTAGGCATTGGGCTCTACTTGTGATGAGATGAGAACCAGATGGGGGCCAACACCAACACCACCCAACCTGGGCTCACAGGGCCTGAAGTGACAAGCATGGGGCCTGCATGGGTCTGCACTAGCTCTTCTGGGCACATGTTACGGCTGCTAGCTTGGTGTTTTGTGGGGCTCCTAACAGCGGGAGCACGTGTGTCTCAGACTCTTTTGTCTGCTCCTAGGACTGTTTTCCTCCTTTTGGGTTGCTCTGTCCAGCCTCAACATTAGGGCTTTTGCCTGGCCTTATTGTGCCTTCTTTGTCATATTTTGCTATTATCTCTTGGAGGCCTCCTCTTCTCTGAAGGGAAACGGAGGGGAAGTAGATCTAGAAGAGAGGGGAGGTGAGGGAAAGCTGAGAGGAACTGAGGAAAGGGAAGCTGCGGTTGGAATGTATTGTATAAGAGAAGAATCTACTTTCAATGAAAGGAAGGAAGGAAGACGGAAGAAAGAGGAAGGAAGGGAGAGAGAGAGAGAGAGAGGGAGAGATAGGGAGAGAGAGAGGAAGAAAAGAACCAACCAACCCTGGCTCAGTTGATCATGCCTACTATGTACTAAGCTGTATGTGATTATATATTATATATTATATAAGCCTATAACCCCAGTATTCAGAAAATACAAAAGGGATCAGTCTAGGCTTCATAGTGAGTTAGAGGCAAGCCTCAGCTACATGAGAGACCCTGTCTCAACCCACTCCAGTCTCCATACAAAAAGATGATCCTAGCAGTTCAGTGGTGGCACATGCCTTTAATCCCAGCATTCAGGAGGCAGAAGCTGGTGAATCTCTGTGAGTTCAAGGCCAGCCTGATCTTAAACCCTTTGAGTCTTTGTTGTTGTTGCTGTTGTTGTTGTTTTTTGAGACATGGTTTCTCTGGGTAGCTTTGGAGCCTGACCTGGAACTAGCTCTTGTAGACAAGGCTGGTCTTGAACTCACAGAGATCCTGCCCTCCTGAGTGCTGAGGATTAACGGCGTGTGACACCAACACCCAGTTTCCTACACCTCCCTCCCTGATGTATGTACTTCTGCCCAAGCTGCTCATGGTCTTATGTCTCAGGAGTATAGTGTAGAAGGTTAACTGAAAGGAAATTCAGTAAACACAGTGCTCCACCAAGTTAGATCTAGATGGAACTATTAGTTTGGTCTCTAACTGAGATGAGTTGGTAGACTTTGGTTTACATTTTCCCCAAGTGAAGTTAATACAAAACTTCCCCACCCTTGAATAATGGAGCCTCCAATATCTTGACTGACTTACTCATTTAGCGTAAAGCCTTGGAAATATTATATAGCTATTTCCTCAGAATGGAAACATTTCCTTCTGGAGGGAGGCTCAGGAAGGCTCAGAAGATAAAGTAATAACTCTGAAGAAGTTTCTGAAACTTAGAAGATTCACATGTGGCTCCAAAATTCTCCTTTTGATGTTTTTGTATCAAATTTGTTGTAGTGCCAGTGTCTGAACCTCTCTTCCCACATTTAAGTCCAAACAAGGTACTATTCAATATTTTTAAGTTTTTTTCAAAGCTAAAGACAAAGTCAAAGTTGCCACATCATTATTTTATTTTGTATTTATTTAATGAGCACAGCTGAAGGGCTTGCATAAGTTTCTGGGCCACTTGCATTTCATTTCCTGTAAAGTGACCCTATCCTTTGTTCACTTTCCCATTGAAGTTTGAATTTTAAAAATATTTTCCATGAGCTTGTTATACAGTGACACTGTTGTCCCTGTCATCTGTTGGAACTATTTAATCCAATTTATTAATGCACGCTTTAACTTTGTTTATAATACCAGCAACAATTTTTCATTTTTCCCCCCTTAAATTTGGTTTTCATATTCATTATGGCTTCTGAAATTCTTGTCAGGAGTTAAAAGCTCTTCCTAATCTGGTGTCATAAATGCATTAAGTATTTTCTCTTACTACACTCATAGATTAGGTTTTCAATGTTTATATGTGTATTCCAAAGGCAGAAAACATGGAAAGTGGACTGCAACTTATGTCTTTCAAAAGAAGGCATGCTATAAACTATACTTTATATATGAAAAGGAAGTGTCATTCAGTCATTAGATAGGGAAAGTAGGACTTTAAAGCACTGAGATAAAAAGCATTCACCTTTGTATGTGAAAAGAGACAGAAGAGACCCTTGGCTCAATTTTTGTGCAAGTGTACAATAAAATGTGTGAAAATGCATATTCCATAGTGCCAACAGATGTTAATATTGGACAAGCCCAAGAAAATGATTTAAATGACAGGAATGTGCTCTATCTGGGTCAAGGAAAAGAGAGAAAATGGGGCAAATAATGAGGCAGCATCTGCAGTTCACACAAATCCATGTCTGCTAACCACAAGGGACCAAATACGGAGACAGGAGTAGGTTTAACATCAAATGCAGTTTACAGCTATTCGGGGCATATGGCTGTTTCTGCCTTTAATTCCAGCACCGAGGAGTCAGAAGCAGGAGATCGTCACAAAGCTCCAGGCCATCCTGGTCTGCATTGCAAGTTCCAGGGCAGACAGGGCGATAGTGGCAGGCCCTGCCTCAAAACAGACAGACAAAACCCTCACAACACAAAATGTAGAAACCAAGTAGGCAGACTTGTCTTATTGTTCAAAGCAGATCAAACATGTAAGTAGTCAATCACTGCTTGACAAACACAGTAAATGAACATCCGATGGAACAAAGTGTGTCCTAGTAAGTCACCCAAATCCCCAGGAAATAGAGGCTTTTTCATCGGCATACGGATAATTGGGTTTCATGATGGCATTTGTGAAGCTAAACTTGTTTTAGTTGTTTTGCTCCTCCTTTCCCCTACTCTGCACTCTCCCTTGTGGCCTCCCGCCCAGTAACGTTTCCCCTTTCACAGCACAGGTTCCTTTTGCCCTGCTCCATCTCCCTACCCTTCTCATTCCCCTTGCACGGCCTCCATCTGGTGTAATAACCTGTACCCTCTTGCAACCCCTTACTTACATAGAGAGAAACATCGAAAGTTAGGGTCTGCCCATTCTCCACCAAAGTACAGGAGGTGCCCAGGAAGCTCCATCCTTTGCTGAGGGGCTAATGACTGTTAATGGATGCTGGGGGAGAGGATGCTACTCTCTCTAATGTGGCTACCGAGAGGAGACTAGGCGAGAAGAAGGCTCTCATAGGAAAAGGAAGGGACACAGCGGAGGGCAGTGGGGTGAACATAATCACTATACATAAGTATGCAATAGCCAAGAAAAAAAAACAAAATTAAGATCTGCCTATGAGAGAGGGTATGGGATTTTGGACTTTGTGAGTCTGGGTCATCCCACTTAATACTTTCCAGATCCATCCACTTTCCTGCAAATTTCATAATTTATTTTTTCTTTATGGCTGCATACAATCTCATTGTGTACATATGCCACATTTTCATTAGCCTTTCTTTGATTGCTACTTGACCATTGCTATTGCCTTGCAATCGTGAATAATGCAGCAATAAACGTAGATATGCAAGCATTTGCGTGGCAGAACAGAGAGTCC